CCATCTTGACTCCTCGTATGTACCATGTTGAATCGTTTACTCCATCAGTTCATGCTAGCAGGACAGGGTGAGAACTTTGTTCATGTTGACCTTGTCTTTCAGATCCCTCCCGGAAAAATGCAAGGAAAATCAACAAAATTTCGCAGCCTTTAGCAGCTCAAGTAACTGCCCTCATAAGTGTAAGCAGGTAGGTCTTTGTCAGTATATTTGCTCTTCAGAGATAAAATAATCCATCCAGCGGCATTAATTAAAAAAAGAACCTAAAATACTCTGGGGCTCATTAAAGTTAAGAATAACAACATGATGCGATGACAGATACAACTTGCTGAGGTTCTGAAAATAGCAGGTTAAAATGTAAATATCTTTTAATAAATAATTTTCCTGCAATGTAAAAATAAACGATATTTCCTTTGGCAGTAATAGCTGATTTAATCTTTCGCTGGGAAGTTGCTTTGCTCATAAAATATCATTGTGCTACAAAAAAAAAATATTATTTTGTTGTTTTGAAAGACTTTTGTAATCCACAATAAACTGGGTGACTCTACTTATGTCCAAGATAAGCGCCAAGAGTGATGCAAGCTCCCACCAGAACCAGACTCAGGATAGTCTTCAGAGAGATCCAGGAGAAATCGAACAAAGGCCTCATGCTGTTGCCATACAACTCCACAAAGGCATCCTAGAAAGGGAAATAACACAATATCAGAATTGCAGTAACTTTTTTGGGGGGTGAGGGGTGGTGGTGCAACTTCTCCACCCTCAATGGTCATCCGACAATCACGCCAGCACAAGAAAACCACACAAAGCTATTAAAACACTCATTTGGGAGCTCTGTTTTTTGTGCAGTACTTAACAAAAAGTTCTCTTGCCTATTTCTTCACAAATTCTGCTGTAATTACTTAGTCATGACTTCTACTTTAGGCATGCCCAGTCTAACAGAAAAACAGGAGCAGCATTTTGAAATACAAGTTGCCACTATTTTGGCTCCTGAATGTTGTCTATACAAACATACACAAAGGAGGTAAATGGACCTTCATTCTCCAAATCTTTCATTTCCACTGGACAAGGGGCATCTCTACAGGAGGTCAGCTTTGCGGAAAATAAGGAAGTATTTATTTGGTTCCCTTGGGATGGGTTCAGAAGACTATGTGTAATAGCCACAGATGTTTCTTCCATATGAACTGAAGCAGTTAAGAGTTGTGTTGCACCTATGATCGTCTCTCAGAATTGTCACCAAAAAAAGGTGATGCTGTGGTCCTGCGCTCCAGGAAAACTTGGTGATATATGTAGACAACAAATGGAAAGGCTGTTTAAGTAGCAAAGATAAAGGTTTTTGTGACCCATAAATACAATGGGATTTCATGGGGTTAGTGGTCCAATTTGTGATACTCTGCATATAATTCCTTTCTCTCAGGCTGCAATTCCTAACAAGCATGAAGCTTCAGAGCATTCCTGAGAGACGGCTAAATCATACTGTATGGCACGAAAGCAGTAAATAGCCAAGCTGAATGACTTCAAAAATATGACAAAACTGATAGCATCATGTATGGTAACTCTTTCACTATGCAGTCAATTGAGGTCTGCTCCCAAACTACTGAGATAAAGCCATGAAACAGCTACCTAACACAGGGGCGTCTGTCTCTACTTTTGTTACTCTAGACTTCCCATTTTTGGTAGAAGTCAACATTCTCTATTATGTTATAATGCCTTTAGCTTTTATGCAATGCTACTATGCTAGGAGGTAACCTGCTTTCTAAAAATGCATATATGTTATGGTTTACAGCGGGAATTGAAGAGAGAAAGGTCTCCATTATTAATGTAAACCTTTCATCCAAGTTATTTTTCTGCAAATTATGTAATTAAATTTGCCTCCCTCATTGGCCACCGCTAGTTATTGTCAGAATACGAGCGTTTGTGGTTTTACCACAAGAGGGCGTGTAAGGTTTTTCAATATTTTGACTTCTATCACTAGGCACTGAGCAAGATTCAAAGATAAAATAGATATTTACTTCAAAAATATGTTATTACATTAAGTAGTATTGGTGCATGTTGTTGGTCAGAGTGGATGTTGGTAGGTAAGAGGTGGTAACAGAACAGCCATAGGCTTTGGCCAACAGATTGATGTGAAACACATCTGCCTCTTGCTATTTCTCAATGCCTGTTCCTCTAGGCAATCATTTTCCAACTTGGGTTTCCAAAGGTATATTCTTAAGTGAAAGCAGCTTAACCTTTTTGGGGGGAGGACGGAATGTTTTAATGCAAACTCTTAATTCCAGGGAGAAATTGGCAACTTTTGCTTAGCTGCCTGTTTTTTTGACATAGACATTTGCAAACTCTGGCCTTAATATTCGGCTGTGCTGTTGCAGAGCTGAAAAAGCACACTCAGTTTGCTGTGCAGCTCTTTGGAAAGCTGCTTTTATTTCTCCTTAAGGCTATGAAGTAACACAATATCCCAAAATGTTACAGACTGGGCTAAATCCTGTTGTCGCCAGTACAGACTCACTGACTTCCACGGGAGCTTTGTCTGTATAGGGAGTTCATGATCAGGCCTTATAAAAATACAACAAGGGTAAAGTTCAACACTTGGTGATATTATTATGGGTGGAAAAGAGAGGAAATGAAAAAAAAAACCCTCATGGAAATGCAAGTCATGTGAAAACATTTTAACGTTAATGTTTTCATGGTTTCTTTCTGTGGGGAAGGTCTCACTTCTGTATATTCATGACAGTCGATGCATACACAGTATCAACATCAAAATGAGCATATTTTATGCCTCACTTCTATTCCAGTTTAGGAACATTCCTCCCAGTTTGTCTGTGAGACTATTTCCAACAATTCAGTAGTGCTCCTGGTATTGGATATGAAGATGGACAGAGGGTAACAGTAAAACTTGGATACAAGGCAAGAGTATGGCATATCCTATGGCTCAAAAGAGGAATGTTAACAAAAACTGTGCAGCATGCAGTACTTTTTTTGTCCGAGATTATTACAACAATAACATGAACCCAACCTAATGGTGTCTGCACTATATATTACAAGTAGCTCTTTATGATCGTTCTCCCTCCCCTTCTCAAACATCCTGATTAGGCCTATTTCCGAAGCTTGTTTGAACAGCCTGTCACTATTTGTTTAAGTTTCAAACCTGTTTTAAATAAACACATGTCCATTTTATGTACTAAAACAAGGGGGGCGGGGGGAGGGAAGTATGACCCGTTGCTGCAAACTATTTTAGCACAAAGAGAACCTAAACAGAATCTTAACTGTTTCATAAGGTTTGTCTCCTGGAAACCCATGTATTTGTCACCGGATTTTTGTCGCCTAAACTGCTCTGTTTAAAATAAGAGAATCTCAGCTAAAATAAATAAGATTAGGAAAATTGCTTGAAACACTTGATGTCCTCTGAAAAGCACTCTTTATAATGAAAGCAAGGGTCCCCTTGGCAAATAGACCGAGGCAAGTTCTGGCTTGGTCAACCCTTCTGAAACTTTTACACAATTGGAAAGAAAATCATTGCAGGCCTTGCTTATAAGGCCTTCAGAATTTAATGGGAAGTTATATCCTGGATGTAAAATTATATCAGGGCAGTTAAAAATTATATGGAAAAGAACTCTTCATTCAGCTCTGTAAGTTTTTAAAAAGTCATTTCTTAAGAAGCTTTTATTAAGTCAAATCAGTCCATTGCTGGTTTATTGTGCAATTTTATGTTGACTGTTTCTGTGAAGCAAGAAAGGTGGCGGTGAGGAAGGGAAAGATGCTCTACCTAAGCTCCTCTTAGGCACCAAAGCACCTGAGATGCTTATTTCACCTACCTGGGCTTGATTGGCAGGCTAGGAAGATTGCCCTGAGGACACCACTCACTGCCCTCTTGCCAGCTGGACTATATACAGGGAGAAGAGACTGTGTTCCTGCCCGGAGTTCCTGGAATTTGTAGGGAGTCCAGGACAAAAGTGGAGTTTGTCACCCTGAGAGGATTAGGAGGCGTAATAGCGCACTGAGTCAGGGCAGTCTCAAAACAAAGAGATCACACTATCCTGCTCTTCCGCTGGCTCAAATTCGGCAGCTCCGATCCAAGAAACAAATGTCATCTTTAATTACATGGGCATTCTTTGCTCGTAGAATGAGCCGAGTTTATTCAGCCTCGGTCCTTTTGCAGCTCAGTCTTCACCCCAGCCTGAGAGGCAAGGCACAGCTCCTCGGTCGCAGAGAAGGATGTACCGCCCACAGGCTGAGCCCAGCGAAGCATTACAGATCTGACGGCTCCTTACTGAAAATGCAGAGGGAGAAGGCAGTTCCTGCCTAGCGTTTCTGACTGAGGGGGCAGTGGGGAGAGCAAACATGAGGAAGTAAAGGCTTCCTTTTTCTACCTGAATCAAACAGCTGGTGAGGAAGTGACTTTATTTCCCTCGTTATCATTGGGTTGGCAGGATATCCTCTTGAGCCACATTGTATTGAATGAAGAGCCGGTGAGACTTCCATTTTACTGAACGGGAATTGCCTTGCAGCTATTTTACGCTGCCCTCTCTGTGACTTCAAAACAAACAAACAAACACGCACTAGCTCCCAGCTTTTGAAGAAACTTGCACAGGTCTGAACAGGGTGGCTTTACCACCCAGTATGGGGCAGGAGAGGAATGGCATATGCTTTGATGCCAAGGTTTAGCAGCTGAATGACTTTTCCCTCACCCCTGCCTCCAAACGAATGACATAAATTCTCATAAAAGCTTTCGTTCCTGCATGGTAACTCATTTCAGAAGGAGTTTGGGGAGGGAGAGGGGAGGCAGACAGAGCTGGTTAAATCGTCCCATGTTTTCTAAGCAGTGAAACCTCATTAAAATGTCATCTTGAAGCTAACGAGAGAAGTTCTTGGAACACAAAAAATAGACAAATGTGTAGCTGTTCTTTCCCCAAAGAGTTTATGGGTCTTTTATGCAAGCTTAAGTCGTGAGCACATGCAAATAAGGACAGGTCAGACCTAGGCTGCGTTGTGCCGAGGTGTGGCGTTTCACAAGGTCGGTATCTTTAGAGAGGCTGATATCTTTTTACACCTGGGAGTGCCAACGTGCTGGTAGTCCTGCCAGGTGCACATTATCAAATTATAATGGGAAGGAAAAGAAGGTGTCACCATACAAGCCCTGCTGATCACAGGAAAAGAACCTGCTTGGGGAGTGGCTTTGGCACATGCACCCCTGAACAAATTCCCATCTGTTTTTTCTCTTTCCCCCTTCATCTTTGCCTGTTGTAGAAATGGGTCTATTTTGGGGACATGGTTTAGTAGTGAACACGTCAGTGCTAGGTTAATGGTTGAACTCAGTGATGTTAGAGGTCTCCAATCTTCCGTGACTCTGTGATTCTATTTTGAATTCTCTGAGTCCACAATGCCTGACAGTCATAGGTCTGTAGCTGATGTGTTAGTTGCTGGCTGCACAGCCTTTTGTTTCTTCAGTGGTATCTAAGGTTTCTCACTTTGGACAAAACTGGTTCTTATCACAGTGGTCTTGCCTAATTTCTGTTTGTGCCCTTGCTACCTATTTGTATAAATTCCTACACTGGTGAACTTGTGATCTTGCGGGTGTATCTTGCAGGTCCTTGTCTTGCCAGACTCTCACTTTAAGGCTGTGTGAATTGAAATCAGTGGAAATATTATTTGCATAAGACTGACTAAACATGGCACTCAGATGGA